CCATAGCCTCTGATCCCACTGTTGATGTTTTAGACGGCCAAATTGGCTGTGCTCTCAAATTTTTTTTGGTCCAAATGGCATTGGACTTAAATCGTGGTTCGTCTCCATAGTATCGTAAAAAAAATGCAAGCTCTGATATCGCCTATCGAAAATAAAGCTTACATTGTATCTCAGTATACCTTTAAACATAACTAGCAAATTAAATTAAAAGAATTGTGGTCCCCCGCATTCGGTGTCTTATTTAGTGGATGGGATACCATTATGGCGTATTGTCTCAAATATGTACCCCCTCTCATATGTTATGGAAAATTAATCACCAAAGATAAAAGTTTGAAAATATGGTCAAGCATGAAGTTCAAGGTAAAAACTTATAGCATGTTTACAATCATCTTGTTACATGCAATGCATATTTCAAATATGAAGGCCCTATCTCTTCTCTAATAAAAAAAGACCGTATCTTCATTTTTGTCCCCCGCTTTCACGAAAGCGAGGGGACATTAAATCTCATTCGTCTGTCAGTCAGTCTGTCCGTCCATCACAAAAACTTTAACCTTGCCCATAACGTTTGATTAAGTGGAGCTATGACTTTCATATTTCACATGCATGTGTATTCCCTGTGACAAGACCTTTCTTTGGGTACCACCAAATTTGACCTTTTGACCTTGACATTGGCGTCTGACCCACTTTAACAAAAACTTTTACTTTGACCTTAACTTTTGAACGGTAGATACTAGGACTTTCATATTTCACATATGTATTCTTTGTGGCAAGACCTTTCATAGGATACCAACAACTTTTGACCTTCCGTACTTATGAAAAAACTTTTACCATGGCCATGACTTTTGAACGGTAAGGGCTAGGGCTTTCATACTTCACATATGTAATCTTTATGAGAAGATCTTTCATTGGATAACAAGAACTCTGACCTTCTGACCTTGACATTGGAGTTTGGCCTACTTTTTAAAAACTTCACCTTGGCCATAACTTTTGAAGGGTTAGTTCTAGGAATTTCATACTTCACATATTTAATCCTTGTGACAAGACCTTTCATTGTATATCAAACACTTATACCTTGACGTTTGACGTACTTTTTAAAAACTTTAACATTGGCCATAACCTTTGAACGGCAAGGGCTAGGGCTTTCATACTTCATCTATGTAATCCTTGTGACAAGACCTTTCATTGGATACCAAGAACAATACCGTTGACCTTGACCGTGTAGTTTGACCTACTTTTTGAAATATTTAATCTTTGCCATAACTTTTGAACGGTACGGGCTAGGGCTTTCATTGTTCACATATGTAATACTTTTGACAAGACCTTTCTCAAGAAACCAACAACTTTGACTCTTTCACCTTGGAGTTTGACATACCTTTCAGAAACTTATCATTGGCTATAACTTTTGAACAGGTGGTGCTAGGGCTTTCATATTTCACAATCGTATTTCTTGTGAGAAGACCCTATTATTGAGAAGAGATAGGGCTTTTATATTTGACATGTGCATTACCTGTGACAAGATATTTCTGAGCATGCTATGATTTCTGGCTCCTTGACCTTGACCTTTCACGATTGACCTTTTTTTTAATAATTCAACTTCGGTGATAATTTCTAAATGACATATGATATGGCTTTCATATTTGACTCAATATGTCATTAAACATCTCACCCACAAAGACACCGAAAGCGGGGGACCACAATTCTTTGAATTTGCTTGTCCTGATTTCAATATTACCCATATTAGTAGTATATGCTAAACACCAATGAACAGAATTTTGCTGTGGCAATGAATTAACTGTAGTTATTTTTTCTTGGTGATTCCGATATTTGGATCAAGCAACAAAATTATCAAGCATATAAATCTTAGTCTGAAACATGACATTGATTCAAAATTATTGCTCATCACTGTCACTATTCTGTTTGATGTTTTTTTTTTCAATAAAAACGCTGAAGGTTGTTGGTAAAATATAAGGAGATAACGAACAGTCATCAGCTCAAAAGGCCATTTAAAGAATACAAATACAAAAAGAGCAGAGCAAACACTGACCTCAAACATCAGAGGTGGGATAAGGTACCATGGGGAAAGTGATTTATTGAAAGTTGTTAAGCGTTCCCCTGGAACAATTTTCACTCATATGGACACTTGTCGGTGAAGAGCTACAAATTGTGTCCTATACTTAGAATACTGTACACTCAAGGCCATTGAGCAGAGAGGGATCTTTATCGTACCAGCACATACTGAGGGACCTTGCTTTATACGGTCTCCACGTCCCACATCTGGATTCGGACCCGCGACGTAAGGTTGGATTTCTTACTTCGCGACTCTAAAGCAGACACTATCCACTGCGCCATGCGGATGTGACCGGTCGGCTGGGAATGCTCACTCCTCCATGGCACCTGATCCCGCCTCTGATGTTTTGGAGGTCCGTGTTTGCTCTGCTCCTATTTTGTGATGTTTTATGGACTTTTGATCTTGAATACTGTCCGTTACCTCCATATATTTCATTGTTGAAGAGAACTCACGGGTCGTTCATGGAGATAACTGCATGCATACACTTTTAAATTTTTTTTTATATACCTTTATATGTTTCAGCAACACTCAGTATTACGCACTCAGCAACAAAACTAGTCTATTCTTATTCCAGTAATATAAATTATGGACAATATAAATTGGAGGGATGGTAAGGGAATACAAACTCAAAACAAATAATATATGCAAAGAAAAAAAAATAAAAACTGTTGTTTTTTTCAACTTCAGAGCCGGAACACATGGCTGCTGACAATGCTATTTGAATCTAATTTCTCATGAGTAATCAACAAAGATTTAACACTTTTTTGTAAACGATATGGATCATGCAGTAAACTATCATTTTCACTTTAGATTAGAAACTTGAGTCTCGGTGAACAATGAACATTTTACATTAGTACACATTGTTTCAGAACCGAAGTGATAATTGCTATGTAGAACAGTAGCAAGATGCGTATTTGTCCTATACGTTGTTAGTACAACAATGAAAGTTTTCCATAAAATTTGACATAAGCCATTGTAGTCCGGCGATCATTATCAGAGTTCTCTAAACTAGACATTTATTACCACGGCCATATAAATCGACCCCACTAAGAGTGCAAGTACATCTAACCAAGTTAAACCACAGTGCACAAAGTTAATATATAATACAACGTTGCTATGGATCCTCATGTATTTGATAGTTCAAGTTAAGAAGAAAACAAAATATAAAGCACTAAAAATGACGAACAATAACAAGAAGCCCATGGGCTTATAGGTCACCTGCGCATCATGTAACAACTTTCTTAACATTGAAGTTGGTTCATGTTTTAAACCAGAGGCCATGGTATTCACAATTTTGAAAGAGGCACCAGTGCTTATTATAACTATAGACATAGTTTCGTTACTAATAATACCCAAAGGCAGAGTATGAGAACCAAAGAAAAATACATTTCAACTAATGTTATATTCAGCAATAATCTGTAGTCTCCCCCCCCCCCCGGAGCCCCTGACCCTGGGTCCTCCAATTTCACAATTTTTGAAAAGGCACCCTTGCTCATCACATAAATGTTTGATGAATACCAAAGAGCAGATTTCAAAGTATGTATTAATTCATTTTCAGAATATAATTAGACCCCCCTCCTCCCCTACGGTAACCCTGACCCAGGGGCCTTGTAAAACACAAATCTGGATGGACCCGTTGCTCATCATAGCTTTACAGGTAATTCATCTGCTTAATTCCTAGGAGCAGAGGCGAAGATTTTCAAGAATGCATTTTCAATATATAATTTATATAGCTACGCCCTAACACCAGAGTCCCTGATCCTGAGGCCATGAAATTAAGAATTTCAGAAGAGGCACCCTTCCTTATCATAACGATGTAGTTAGTTTGTTTAATACCCCGCAGCAGGGAAGAAGATTTTCAATGAATTAATGCATTTTCAATGTCTATATAAACAATAGAGTCCCACCCTAACAACAGAACCCCTGACCCTGGGTCCATGAAATTCACAATTTTAGAAGAGGCACCCTTCCTCACCATAACTACGTATGTAGTTAGTTGTTTAATACCCAACAGCAGAGAAGAAGATTTTCAAAGAAATAATGCAGTTTCACTATGTAATTTATATAGCCCCGCCCTAGCATTAGAACTCCTGACCCCGGAGTCATGAATTTCCCAATTTTGGTAGGGGGCTTAATGCTTATTACAACAATGGCAGCAGTTTGACTGCTTTATATCCAGGAGTAAAGAAGATTTTAAAAGATCGTATTAAGAAACTGCTTTTTGAACATAGAAAGGTGTGCATATTGAGACCTTTTCATTCATTTATAAGAAAGGGTGTCTGCCTTATTTCCGCAGGAAAAATGTTTAAAGACAATGGACTATTTGTGAGCAGAAACCATGGCAGTATACTTACATTGGGAAAATTAGTGAAAATAATGAATTCAATATTACGTATTATTATATACCTAACGTGTATCACTCAATTTTCCTGTAGAATTAACGCAATCACGTGACGTCGTGATCCAACTTTCCGGATCACCACACAGTGGTTTTCTGAATCCATATCACCACTCTGAAACTGATGACGTAGTACGCAAAAACATGACGTTATTTTTCTTGCGCGTTAAAAAGTCCATTGTTATTGTTACGTTGCGGTGAGGACAAATAGATACAGGATCTATATGGTAATTTGTAGAGATGACGTTGAGACAATGGAAACACGTGTTGTTCTTTTTTTACTGGTTTATTAAAACTAAATGTCAAAACCAAAACATGCACATAACTATACGACCCGGCTTTCTAGAACACGGAAATATAATTTCCGGATTACTTAATACACTACACTCCTCCCTGACTAGTACAAAAATCACAAATGAAAACAAAAATGAAATAGGTCATTATACAACAAACAGTTCAATCAAATACAATTAAGAATAACTTCACATTAAATGAACTTTACAGTTAGGTTAATCTCAGTTCACAATCATAATCTCACAAATTAAGTTTGTTCGGTTTGTTACGAGTTCGCGGCGGATTTCGGCGTGGCTCTGGTATGGGTGTACTAGGTTCTGCGTCCTTCAAGCTTTCCTGAGTTTTGTCGGTGGTGCAGGGAGCTTTCATGGATGGCACAAACGGAATATCCACCGGAGTTGGATATGCGTGTTGGTCCTTGGACGTACGGACGATCTGGTCAATGTGTCTTCTCCATAGAGTTCCGTTAACATCCACCTTGTACGATTACGGTCCAGTTCGTGAATGGATACGTCCATTTGCCCATTTGTCCGAGTTGCTGCGATAATCACGTGTGTTTACCGAGTCCACATCTGAGAATTCTCGAATCGCATCTCCGCAGTGTTTTGCTGTAGAACCGTATTGTTTGTGCAATACTGTAGTGGCTAGATCCGGTTTCATAATGTCAAGCCTAGTACGGATATTTCGGCCATACAACAGAATGGATGGTGACTCATTCGTAGTTCCTTGTGGAGTGATTCTGTATTTACATAGGAATGAGTTCAGTTTCTTGTTTATGCACGCAGAATCTCCTGATGCAGATTTGATTGCCTTTTTAAAGGACTGAACGAACCTCTCAGCTTGGCCATTTGTGCGCGGGTGGAACGGAGAAGAGGTTATATGTCTGATGGCATTCGACTCCATAAATTGACGGAATTCCTCCGAACGGAACTGAGGTCCATTGTCGGACACTATTTCTGCAGGTATCCCCTGTCGTGCGAATAAGGTCCGTAAGGTGTTAATTGTCGCATTACTTGAGGTACTCCTCATCTCAAAGACTTCCGGCCATTTCGAGTACGCACCCACAACTATGAGAAACATGGCGTTGTGAAAAGGTCCGGCGAAATCTATGTGTAAGCGATGCCATGGTTTTGGCGGGAAATTCCATGGGTGCACAGGTGCAGCGGAAGGTGTGTTCTGCACACGCTTACATCCAGAACAAGCCTTACAGACTTCCTCTATGGCTTCATCAACTTTGGGCCACTATACATAAGATCTGGCTACTGCTTTCATTTTGACAATTCCAATGTGGCCAGAATGAAGCTCTGTCATTACTTTTTCACGTAAAAAGTCTGGGATGATCACACGATTTCCCCAGGTAACACATCCTTGGTAAACGTTGAGTTCATCTCTGCGCTTGTAGTAGGGCTTTAACTGTTCATCACAGTCATGAGGAAAATGTCCTCGTACCACGTAGTCTAGGACTTGACTCAGAACTGGGTCACGCTGTGTTTCCCTACGAATTTGCACACAGGTAACAGGTAAGTCATCGAAATGTCTGTTGTAGAACAAATCAATAGGATCCTTTTCATCCTGTGGTTGATTAACTGTGGGTACTGTAGTGGTACACGCGACAATGCGTCAGCTTTACCATGAGACTTGGTTCCACGAAATTCAATGTCATACTGGTATCCTGATAAAAATACAGCGTAGCGCTGGAGACGTGCTGCTGTCATCACAGGAAGGGACTTCTTCGGATTGAAGATGCTCAGCAAGGGTTTGTGGTCTGTGACAAGTGTAAATTTATGTCCATAAAGGTACGAATTGAACTTTCTCACACCCCAGTAGCGAGCAAGCGCCTCCTTGTCAATCTGTGAATAAGCCTTCTCTGCCTGGTTCAGTGTGCGCGACGCAAATGCTATGGGTCGTTCAGAGCCATCTGGAAACACATGGGAAAGTACAGACCCAATTCCATAAGGCGAAGCATCTGCAGCTAGTTTCAAGGGTAGCTTGGCATCATAGTGGCACAGAACCTTGTCGGAGCAAATGGCGTCCTTTATTTCATTGAAGGCCCTATCTCGCTTGGAATTCCATTCCCATTTAGTTCCTTTGTTAAGGAGTTCATGAAGTGGTCCTGCTTTACTGGAAAGGTTGTCTAAGAATCGGTGGTAATAGTTCACTACGCCTAGAAATGACCTAAGTTGTGAAACATTCTCTGGGCGTTGGACATCTTTGACAGCCTCAATTTTGTCAGGTGACTTGTGTAGGCCACTAGCATCGATTTCATGTCCAACGTAGCTCACCTTAGCTTGGAAAAATTCACATTTCTGAAGGTTTACATGTAGCCCATAGGATTGTAGACGGTCCAGTACGAGTTTCAAGTTGTGTAGGTGTTCCTCATCATTGCGACCAGTAACAATAATGTCATCAATGATCACTTGCGTTGATGGTATATTCTGTAGTACTTGCTCAATTGCACGTTGCCATAGAGCTGGAGCGGACGCAATTCCGTACGGAAGTCGCTTGTATTTAAACAGGCCCTTATGAGTGTTTATGACGAGTAGATCCTGCGAAGCTTCATCTAGTTCCATGTGATGATATGCTTGTGTTAAGTCCAGTTTTGAGAAATTCTTTCCATCAGCTAGGGTTGCAAAGATGTCCTCAATTTTGGGAAGAGGGTATTTGTCGACGCACATTACCGGATTCACGGTTACTTTGTAATCACCACACAGTCTGACGTTTCCATTCTTCTTAATGGCTGGGACTATGGGGGTAGCCCATTTACTATGTGCGACAGGCTCTATAATTCCATCTGCCTGTAGTTGATCAAGTTCTTGTTCAACCTTGGTCCTCAGTGAATAAGGAACAGTTCTGGCCTTAAGAAACACAGGTTTTGCTTCTGGTTCAACTGTAACTGTCCCCTTAATGTGCTTAAGAGTTCCGACCCCTGATGAGAACAACTCCTTGTGCGAGTCAAGTAGATCCTTCAAGGATGATGGGTGTGTTGCATCACTTGAGCGTAAAGTCTTAATCTCTTGCCAGTTGAGCTTTAGCTTTCCAAGCCAGTCTCTTCCTAGTAAAGCTGGTCCATCATGTGGAACAACAAGCAATTCCAGGTTAGCAGATTGCGAGTTAAGTTGAACGTTCACCTTCATTTTGCCCAGGGGTTGAATTGTGTCTCCCGAATATGCATGCAGTAATTCACTTGATGGTTCAAGGTTTACATTGCCAAAGTTCGCACTGTAGTCACTCTTAGAAATCACGGAAACAGCTGTTCCTGTGTCGACCTCCATCTTGATAACTTTTCCATAAATAATTGGTTGCACAGTTATTGGTGGTTCATGATGTGATTTCATGTGAAAAGTGCTTGTGATGTGTAGAAGTGGTTCTCCAGTACCCTCCGTGTAGCGTTCTTCACAGTGAAATTCCTCCTCGTTATAGAATAGGGAAGTGTTGCGTCCCTTATTTCTGTCACGTTTCTTCTTCATACAGGCTCGCTCAATGTGTCCCACCTTCCGACAGAAAGAGCAGACGCTGTTCGTGTGTCGACACTGCGATGCTGGATGATCCCCATCACAACGATAGCATGAATGTTTCTGTGTTGTCGATCGTGCTTGAGGTTGAGGAATTGCGTTTCTCACTGTAGGTTTCTTGTTAAATTGTGGAGGTTTCGGACGTGTGCTGATCTTGTTAACTGTTTCGCTTTTTACCCCCTGTACTTCAGCTGCATCTCTCGCTGCCGCTTCCATAGCTACCGCAAGGTTGATAGCTTTTTCCAGGTCAAGGTCTTTCTCTGAAAGTAGCCTCTTCTGTATAGTTTCTTGTCGTAAACCAACCACAAGTCTGTCACGTAATGTGTCACTCAAAGCTGCCTCAAACTGACAATGGGTTGCCAAATTACGGAGCTCTGCCATGTACGACAAAACCGACTCATCTGGGCGTTGATTGCGCTTATGAAATCGGAACCGCTCGGCAATGACCGATGGCTTGGGGCTCAAGTGATCACGCAGTGCTTTCAAAAGGTCTTTAATGCCTTTCTCTGTAGCCTTAGCAGGAGCAATTAAGTTTTTCAGAAGTGTGTAAGTCTTTGGACCAATTAAGCTTATCAAAGCAGGTACCTTGTGGTTATTACCAATGTCATTAGCGAGGAAAAATGCCTGTAGTCTCTCCTCATACGATTCCCATGATTCGACCGAATCATCAAATTGCTCGATTTTGCCGATGTGTGGCATTGTAAACGTACTTACTCCTCGTCGCCAGTTGTTACGTTGTGGTGAGGACAAATAGATACAGGATCTATATGGTAATTTGTAGAGATGTCGTTGAGACAATGGAAACACGTGTTGTTCTTTTTTTACTGGTTTATTAAAACTAAATGTCAAAACCAAAACATGCACAAAACTATAAGACCCGGATTTCTAGAACACGGAAATATAATTTCCGGATTACTTAATACACTACAGTTATTATGCTTTGTTTTATGGATAAATATTATACAATTGATCTCTAAAGTTAGATTTTGATATATTTAGCTAGTTATAAAGGGGTATATAATAAATTTATCATTATAACAGTAACTTGATCCGAAGAGCCGTATCACGTCTCGTTGACAGGCGCGGATCATCAGATCAAACTCGACGCTTCGCGTCTCGTTAGATCTGATGATCCGCGTCTGTCAACTCGACGTAATACGACCCTTCGGATCAAGTTACTGTTATAATAATATATATTTCTTGGTCTTATATAATGCTACAAATATTTTAATCTATTGCAAATCGTGTAAAACCTTATTTCTAAGGGCAGATCAGTCTAACTGCATAAAATTACCCTGTAAGTAGAGCTCTTTTGGTATGCAGTGTTTAGAGCTTCCTTAATTGTAGATCCTTAAACGGCGTAGTATGTAAATAAGGGCCTAACGATCAAGATGAAAAAAAAAACGCATGTCAGCATTCGACTTAATGATAGATTTTACTTGCTGAGAAAGTCAGTATAATAACCAAATAAGCTGCAAAAATTTGATTTTAATAAAATAAATATATTTTATTATTATTTAATTTTATTTATTTTATTTATTCTATTTTTAGGTCATCTGGGTAAACTCAGGTGATCTATTGCTATCCGTTTTCGTCCGTCGTCGTGCGTCGTTCGTCGTGCGTTAACATTTGAACATTTTCAGCTTTCTCTGAAACTGCGGAACCAATTTCAACCAATTTTGGCATATAGCATCTATGGGTGAATGGGAACAAAAATTTTGAATGTCATGGTCCCTGTCCCCCTGGGGGTGGAGCCAAAACCACTACAATGAGTGCAATCTTTAAAAATCTTCTCCTTAATCTTCTTCTTCACTCTTGGCGTGATCGGGAGGCCCGGGTTCGATTCTTGTTTCCGGCGCCGCGTCATACATAAGACGCCAACTTAGGTAGTGACTGTTCCTTCACCAAGCGCCCTGCACTAGAAGTGAAAGTCACGGGTCTTTCGGATATGACCTTAAAAACGTAGGTCCCGTGTCACGATAGGCGTTGGCACGATAAAGAACCCTCACTGCTCAATGGCCCTAAGTGCCGAGTATAGGTCTAAATTTGAAGCCCTTCACCGGCATACGGTGACGTCTCCTTATGAAAGAAAAATTCTCGAGAGGGACGTTAAACAACATACAATCAATCAATCTTTACTCCTGGAGATCAAGCAGTCAAACTGTTGGTATAATTGTAATCAGCAATGAGTCCTCTACCAAAATTGTGAAATTCATGGCCAAGGGTCAGGGGTTCTAGTGCTAGGGCGAGGCTATATAGATTATATAGTGAAAATGCATAAATTCTTTGAAATTTTACTTCTCTGCTCATCGGTATTAAATAAACTAACCAAGTGTATAGTTATGTTGAATAAGGCTGCCTCTTTCAAAATTGTGAATTTCATGGCCCCAGGGTCAGGGTTTATAGTGCTAAAGCAGGGCTTTATAGATTATATAGTGAAAATGCATAAATTCTTTGAAATTCTTCTTCTCTGCTCATGGGCATTAATAAACTAACCAAGTGCATAATTATGTTGAATAAAGCTGCCTCTTTCAAAATTGTGAATTTCATGGCCCCTGGGTCAGGGGTTATAGTGCTAGGGCGGGGCTGTACAGATTATATAGTGAAAATGCATAAATTCTCTGAAATTCTTTCTCTCTGCTCATGGGCATTAAATAAACTAACCAAGTGCATAGTTATGTTGAATAAAGCTGCCTCTTCGAAAATTGTGAATTTCATGGCCCCAGGGTCAGGAGTGTTAGTGCTAGGGCTATAAAGATTATATAGTGAAAATGAATTATTTTTTTGAAAATCTTTTCTGCGCCTGGGTATTAAACCAATGAACTATGTACATAGTTATGAGGAGGAAGGATGCATCTTTGAGATTTGTGAATATCAGGGCCCCTGGGTCAGGGTTTCATGTGTTAGGGCGGGGCTCTAATGTTTATATAATAAAAATGGATGAATTCTTTGAAAAACTTCCTTTGCTCCTGGGTATTATGCCAATGATGTAGGTATATATTTATGATAAAGAAAGCTGCTTCTTTCAAAATGGTTAATTTCCGGACCCCTGGGTCAGTCGTATTTGGAGGGGGGAGGGTACATAGTCTGAATATAAATTAATGCTTTGAAATCTGCACTTTGATATTAATCAAAATGAAATAAAATTCATGATAAAATTTCCAAAATTTTGTGGCCCTAGGGTCAGTGGTTCCTATGGGGTGGGGTGCTCAACTGGTTATAAATAGAAATTCATTTTCTCTTTGTTGCTCTGATCTACCTCTGGGTATTAAGGTAACCAAAGTAAGCATGCTAAGTGTTTAATGATGATAAGCAATGGTGTCTCTTTCAAAATTGTGAATTTCATGGTCTCTGGTTTAAAACACGAATCCAATTCAATTGTTGGAAAGTTGTTACGGGATACTCAGGTGACCTATAAGGCCCTTGGGCCTCTTGTTATAAATATTTTATTTATTATATATTTTATATCAAAGAAAAAAAATTTGTGCAGGCAGGAAAATACCCGAAAGAGACAAAAAGCCGGTCGAGAACTGCAAATTTTATCCTACATGTATACTCAACACTTAGGGCCATTGAGCAATGAGGGATCTTTTTCGTGCCAGCACCTACTGCGACACGGGACTTCGGTTTATACAGTCTCATCCGAAGAACCGGTTTCCTCTTCCCACAGTGGGATTCGAACCCTCGATGTAAGGATCATTTCCTTCGCGACTCTAGAGCAGACGCTCTAACCACTACGCCATGCGAGCGACTTCAAATCGTAGGTACATGTAGCTCGGAAAAAAAGGAAATTTAACATTTAGCTGCTTATCTCATGCGGTCACCAATGACCTACCGAGTTCACGGACTCAAACTTCGCCTATCCATTTTGCAATTTTTCATAACTGCTCGCTAAACTGCATAGACAGTGATTTATATCCGAAACACAACAAAAGCGTTTTTTACAGAAGTAGCATGATTCGATGGAGATATTTTTTTTATTAGGGAAAAAACACGAGAAGTCTTAAGATCTTCTGCAAAAAGGATACTGAGTAAGCAGATTTTGGGATCGGGTTGAATCGTCACATAACTCCAAGTGATTGCTCCTTGAATATTATGACCGTCATCGTATTTTTTTTAATTTTGGTAAATGGGTCCGATTTTTTTTACTAGTAGACTAGTTTTTAAGGATATCCGATCCTCAGCCAAGAAGGATAACTCCAAAAATTGATATTTAATTTGAAATGCATCAAAATAAAGCTTGAAAATGAAATTTTTTCATGCAACAATTTTCATTTTATTCATCTTTATAAGATTCAAGGTTTTTGGAAGTCTTAGAAAAGGTCTTATAAAAGTTGACATTTGTACCCTATACAGTATTAGAGAAATAAGATTTTCTTTAATCCAGCCTTAGATACAAATGCTTATTTAGAATGATATGAAATAAGAAGTGATTTGTGGTGTCTTGCAATGATAGCAAAAGCCTTTTACACTGTATATCATAGAATACATGACGGAAATAGAAGACAAAAAATACCAAATAAGTATAAAAATCGTGACATTTTCTCTGAATGCCTGGATACCTATCGTTTTTTAACCTAAAAAATATTTGTTGATCAATTTGCAATTAGAAAATGCATTGCTGATATTCCAATTTGCTTTTTCTGCTAAAATGTTGGAGATTTGACAATTTTCCTTATAAAATATGATTAACTTTAATCTGTAACTTTAAAGTAACACTGTGGATAAATTTGTATAACTTTGTGGATTCATAGATACTTTTGTGAGTATTTTTGATTTCTTAACTGCTAATTTTATAAACCTGAGCATCGGACTACCTTAAATACTAATAAACAAACGACAGTTATTAAATTAGACGCGTGTCAACTTCAATTGGTCCGAAACTTTTAAACAACCGCCGTATTTCAATAAATAAACAACTTAATCTCAGCCAAGGGTACAACCTTGTCTCAGGTTTCATAATTTTGTTCATAAAGAAACTTTAGCAGTTCTAATAGCGGGCTAAATGCATTAAATTATCATTTACCTAGTAAACAGTTTCTATGTATTTTGAGAAAATTACTCACAGATTGCAACACTCTCTGTGGCTTTTGCTCCACCCTTCAAGTTCCAACGGTAGGGTGTCACAAGGTCAAACTGTTAAAAACCACAAGTTTATAGTCGAAATGTCTATAGATACATTATTGGGAATAAAAAATGATTATAAGTGTACGCACTACTTCTGTTATAACTGATTGCAATACCAGTATGTCAGCTGAGTGAAAAATATTCTGTAATTTAATGTTATGGACCCTCTCTACACTAGTGCACAGCGTTTTATTTATTTATTTATTTTTTGGACATTGCGAAAATTATATTGAATAATGATGCACATATTGAGCTTATCTATTTAATTTTTAATATATAGTATATGTCATTTACCCCAAGGAAACATGTTTAAACAAAACAGCATCAGTGAACAGAAATCACTGTCGTTTTTCTTCCATGGAGAAAATACATGCTAATTACACGTTTAATTCATTTATCTTGGCCTTTTGAATAATTATTAGAATACTTGAATTGATTACAAACTGGGTAATAATACTGTGAATTTCGATTTTTTTTTTAAAAATTAAGATCAAAGGGCAGATCACTCTAGATAACTTCAGAAAAAAATACCATAGATTCAAAACTCTTTAGTGTGCAGTGTAGAAAGGGTT